CTGCGCTGCCTGTGTATGTGTGCGAGAGAGTGGTCCGCGCTGCGTGTGTGTAGAGAGAGAACCTGAGAGGGAGTGCTGTAGTGAGTCTAAGAGAGAGACAGCGTGCGGGCTGCGGCTGTGTGTGTGTGTGTGTGTGTCTGGTGCTCTCGCTGTGTGTTGAGAGAGAGAGAGAGAGGTGTGCGTGTTTGTGTTGTGTGTGTGACACAGAGAGAGAGATAGAGTTGTGCACGTGTGTATGTGCGTGTGAGAGAGATAGATGTGTGCGTGTTTGTTGTGTGCACGCGTGTGTGAGAGAGAGCGAGAGAGAGAGAGAGAGAGAGAGAGAGAGAGGTGTGCGTGTTTGTGTTGTGTGTGTGACAGAGAGAGAGAGAGGTGTGCGTGTTTGTGTTGTGTGTGTGACAGAGAGAGAGAACCAGATAGATTAGGCATGCTCAGCGAAAAGCCGTTGGACCAATGTTGGCAATCTGACGTTGTGCGTTATACGATTGTGCGTTGGACGATGGATTATCGTTCCAGATTCTCGATCATCCCGTTCTCTAACTTTGCTTACGTCTACAGTCCCCCTTCATCCCATCCCTTGATCTCAACAACCCAAAGTTTGATGTTGAAACAAATTATAACACGAATTTTACACGATACTGTCACACTATTTGGAATTTCTATGTTCCCGATTCGGGTCGGATTTCGGATCGGATTTAGCGACACACATCGGATTCGGATTCGGATTCAAAAATTGCCATATAATTCGGATTCGGATCAGATTCAAAATAGCTATCAGATTCTGATTCTGATTTTGAAAAAAAATGTGTTGTCGGATCGGATTTTTGGTTCATGTCGGATCCGACGCACAGCACCAATGCAAACCATGGGGACTGATGGTGCTAATCACCGGCTTACCCGGCACTCGTCAGGATGCGGGCAACATTGCTGCGCGAAAAGCATTTGAGACTCAGTGGCATTATCGAAACGGTAGATTTCATGCAAATGAGGTCGAAGCACCATAGCCAATGGCCAGGAAGTTTTTGCAATTGCCAGACGGCAAAACCCCCATCTATTATGGCTGGAGTTTGCCAGGGGCAATATCATTGCTGATGGACGAGGTCCCAGATGTTGGCATTGAGAATAATCCAGATATGCCATGAAAGCAGTTGCTCTGGTATGTTATACGTCCCTGTATTCCTTTCATTTGTGTTCATTTAGCCAGTTTATTATATATCAGGGATTAAAGAAAATACAGACAACATTATACCTGCGTTTGTTGTTCAACCTGTATGTGCTTGTATTAGACTATGTCACCATGATTAGTTATAAGGTAGATGCAATATCGGACGGCTGGTTAGAACGATCTGAGCTCGGAGACATACACAAACAAGGCAGAAAACTACTGGCGCCAGGTATCTGGGGAAAAGTGCCATTGCCAAGAATACTATACTTAATATGAGCTCCGCGTAAAATCGGTCCACACAGGAAGTATCACCACCATCCAGACTTGCGATTGTGTTTAGTAATCCTGCAATTTCTCTCTATGTCAAGTGTGTGCTAGTGTTGTGTACCGGTGACAAGTAGCACATGCATCAAACACATCTGCTATAGCTATTACAGGCTGTATTACTATATACCCTACTCCATTATTTATAATATCTACAATATTATGCGTAATTATGACTGGCATTGCTATCTATTGCATGAAGAATAAACAGGAGCAGTTGATTACAGTCAGCTGCTGGGTAGATACCCTTATAGTCCATTTTAAATTGTACAGACATCTTAACCACAGACAGCATCGCTGTTGTAAGGGTTGATGAGGAACTCACACCTTACTGCTTATGCTGCGGGCGAAATTGGAGACAATTGTGATCAAAAGTGTGTATCTCCTTATAGAGAGGAATCAGATTCAGAAATAGTTCCAAATATTGACCTAAATCAGAAATCTGCTGTGACACTCCAAGTTTCAAGCAACACCAAGAACAAAAGGAAGTGGGATAAAAGAAATATTTGTATATACTGCGAGAAGGCATATGCAAAACTTGCACGCCACTTTGAACTGAAACACAAGGAAGAAAGTGATGTTGCAAATTATCCGAGCTATCCACTAAATTTAACTGAAAGAAAACATTTGATGGAGAAACTGTCAAACAAGGGACACACAATTCATTTATATTTCACATGATTACACATTTTCACACAACCTCAAAGTATTGGAAGAGAAAAAAGGCCAATTAATTCCGAAAAACGTTATCGTTCATGTGACGGGGTGACCAACACCGATTATTCATGCTGCGAACATTGCCTTGGATTTTTTGTCAGGTCAGACCTTTGGAAGTATCAGAAAAAATGTAGCTTCAACAACAAATCAAATGGATCAAAGGACAAAAATATAAAAGCAAGAGGTGCATTATTGCTTCCTTCTGAGGCAGGGAAACATGAAGCACTAGCAGACATTCTAAAGAGGATAAGTGATGATAGGATATCACTTGCCGTGAGAAATGACCGTTTAATTCTGAAATATGGGGAAAGGCTGGGAAAATTGTGAAAAGAACAGCACAACAGACATTTTATTAGTCAGAAGATGAGAGCTGGCACGACTTGTGATAAAATTGAGAGAACTGGATACAGGTATTGAGACATTGAGTGATGCAATTATGCGTACACAATTTCCAAACGTCGTGTCTGCTGTCAAAATGGTTGCAAGATATGACAAAGAGCATGATCTGTACAATATACCGTCATTAGCACTCAAGCTTGATGCTGCTTTGAAGAAATGTGCAAAAGTCCTTAGTGCACATAGTCTTATAGAGGAAAACGAATCCATAATTAATAATTTGGATAAGTTTTGCAAATTATGTGAAATGGAATGGAATGATAAAGTATCTTCACAAGCACTAAAGACCCTACGGGATGCCACTAGCTGATGCCACTCGTGGAAGACGTTGTGTTACTGCAAGCCTATTTGCAACAAGAAGTGGCAGATATCCAGGACAAGATAAATGAAGGCACGTCTCCAGTTGGTACGAACTAGCAAAGTGAAAACTAAACTAACTTTTTAATAGGAGAAGAAGTCGGGAAGCTTCCAGGATCAAACTAAAGAACTGAGAAAACATGAAGAATGATGAGTCCGAAAGATGCGGACATCATTCATCAATGCCCTCTCCTCGTTAGAACAAAAACTATGCAAATCATTGCATCGCAATGAGATTCGAGGCAAGAGGGGGAGTAAGGCACCAGATCTACTCAGAGAATATGCATGATGCAGTTAAATGTCTCTTGAAATATAGGAATCAGGTAGACATAGTAGTAAATTCATAGTGAAATTGGCAAAATCTACCTAATTTGCATAATTTTTAAAAAATATCAAAAACCCCACTCGTATTATTCATGCGATAGTGTATTTATCGTATTCTCCATGCGAGACAGTGAATTTGCCCCGACACGCGACAACATAGATTCAACAGCGTGCTGGGGACGACAGTGGTGGACTATCTATACTGTTATTATTCATACGAGACAGTGTATTTATCGTATTCTCCATGCGAGACAGTGAATTTGCCCCGGCACGCAACAACATAGATTCAACAGCGTGCTGGGGACGACAGTGGTGGACTATCTACTCGTATTATTCATGCGAGACAGTGTATTTATCGTATTCTCCATGCGAGACAGTGAATTTGCCCCGGCACGCAACAACATACATTCAACAGCGTGCTGGGGACAACAGTGGTGGACTATCTACTCGTATTATTCATGCGAGACAGTGTATTTATCGTATTCTCCATGCGAGACAGTGAATTTGCCCCGGCACGCAACAACATACATTCAACAGCGTGCTGGGGACAACAGTG